TTTGCTATAGGAATATAAAATTATTTCTAGCAAAGTTATATTAATTACCTTACATTTAACAGGCTAAGAAGGAATTTAGCACGAATACTTCTTCCTCCCTGTCAAGAGCTTCTTGGGTTACAAAGACGACAAACAAGTGGGAAAAGTGCTATTTTTTCCAAATGTATTATGAATCTGTTGTCTATTTTCACAACCCATTATATTCATCTTGCTGACAATGAATGAATTAAAAGTGTATCCCACTTTTTTTAGTTATCCTAATAACACTGTTGATAATCAAATACCTTTAGAAGTACTGGTTTCCAAACAGTATAAAAGAAATTGCTTTCCTTGCAAGTAAGGTTTAGAAAGGGCATTACAGCAAAAAGTAGCAACAAGGATAGTTCAGAGCATTAGGAATGGCTGCAGCTTAGGTAAGCAAAATAAGAAACACGTCTGTGATTGTTTTGTTCAAACAGACATGCTTCGTGGTTCCCGCAGCAATTTAGAATCAGAGGTTCTAAAAACAGAAGACAAACACTGAACTACTGATTTTTAGTGCAAAATGCCTTCTTTCTAATAGACAGTGTCCTGTAGAACAGCACTAGAAACTGTTTCCGTGGGGCATATAAACAACACAAAAACAGGACTTCAGGCTCAGGGGAACCATACACAACCAAGCATATAAAACTGAGAGGGTTTATCATGTGAAACGCTTCTGTATACTTGAAGTTTCCTCATATTCCCCCCAAACTGGCACAGTGCTTCTTCTAGAAGCAGAATCCTAAGATGGACATATGTCATGATCCTGTGCTCTAGCGCTTCAGGCTCCATCTCTGAACTCTTTCTTCTAGCAGTGCTTATTTTCTATGGCACTGCACTTTCACACGGTTAATTGTACCATGTACATATAGCACCATGTTATCAGCTATTCTACGATACAGAAACCATTCTATGGAAGACTGAGCGATCTGAGATTTTTTAGCCTGGAGAATATGGAGAGAAGAATCTTATCAAAGCTTATCAATAACTAAAGGGCAGGAGTCAGATGGATGGGGCCAGGCTCTGTTCACTCATGCCCAGCAATAGGACAATGGGCAACTGTCGCAAGCTGGAACACAGGAAGTTCCATATGAACATGCCCCTGGAGGTGTTCAATACCAGATTAGATGGGGCCCTGGGCAGCCTGATCTAGCATTAGGTGGGAAGGTTGGTGGCCCTGCATGTGGCAGGGGGGGTTGGAGATTGATGACCTTTGAGGTCCCTTCCAACCCTGGCAATTCTGTGATTCTGTGATGAGAGTGACAGAGCATTAGAACAGGCTGCCCAAAGAGGTTGTAGAGTCTCTGGAGGTATTCAAAACCCACCTGGATACCTACCTGTGTAACCTAATGTAGTGAACTGCTTTTGCAGGGATTGAATAAGATGATCTCCAGAAATTCCTTCTAACCCCCAGGATTCTGTATGCAATTCCCTCTTGGAATAAGCAAGTTGAGAAATACTAATGTCTACTTTTATTATTGCGTTTGCTGAGACTTCGAGTACTATTTACGTACTACACTTGAGTTATTATGTACCACTTATCTCACTTTCCAAGCTTCTAGTCTAAGAGATCAGTATGAACCTAAATGTTTCCACAATCTTACTAACAATCTTAGCAAGTGATGTGATAGTTTTGCCTTCATGGTAGCATTGCTGGGACAAAGGAAACACACAAAAAAAAAGTATAATCCATTTCAGTAAGAAAACAAAAATTGCACATTTGAACTCAAGCAGAGGAGTATAGGAGTGTGTGGTTGATTTGTCATTTCTGGCATATTCCAAGCAGCATCACTTACTGGACTGGACAAGGAAGATGCAGAAGATCCGCATACCCATAAGGATAAGTATTTCCAGTTCCTTTAGCACTACTCACACACTCCTCTGTGCTGGTAATACTTTCAATTGTGTTTCCCAATGTTTTTGTCCTATCAGAACAGCATTCTTTTGATTGTTCTGTTTATCAGACAATGAGAAATGTTTTAGCTCCTATAAATCATAAGCTATAGCACCACCAGTTGCACAAGGTGATTCATCACGATGTTTCAGCAACTCTAAAGAGGGCTTTTCCCACACAGAATCTCACATTTATAAAAGCTGTATCTTCAGAAAATCTTATTCATGAAGGTATTTTGAAAGATTTGACAGAATCAAGGACAGTCGGAGTGAAAACATGAAGAAGGATATTTGAATGCCAACAGATCATTTCTTTAGGAAACTATCCAAAATTCCAAGGAATTTAATTTTATCATCAATTTACTAGATAGTGTAAAGAAACATACACTTAATGTGTAAAGAAGACAAAAAAAACTATATCATTATGAAACCTGAATTCAATTTTAGTCAAAGTCTTTTGTTAAAGAGATTATAATCCAGCGTGCCAGTCACCTAAACTTGTTGCATGCTTCCGTATTGTAGTAAACATTCTGAGTTGGCAGAATCACAAATGAGATTTGCTATTCATATCGTGTTGTCTTTTGTTTTATAGCACCTGACCACACAATCTTCCAATTTGGATCTTGATTCAAATATAGGCATCACTTAGAAACGATGAGCAAAAAGGAACATGTAGTGATGTAAATTCTATGAGATTTTCTTTTTTTTTTTTTTTTAACTATGAGAATAGATGCAAACAGACTATTGCTAAAAAAAAAAAAAAGAAAGAAAAAAAGACATTTTTAATGTTGCATGAAGGTATCAAGAAGGAAACAAAAAAGAAAAAATGAGGCACATTAAAAATAAATAAATTCCATAAATCAGAAATTTCTCTCGAATGTAAATGTATCTGGTCCTTGACTGTATATACATCTAATAAAATTAGAAAATGCTTTATTTACATATTGCTGAAAGTTTGACTCATTTTGGAATCTAGAATATAGCCTTCCAAAAAAGAACTTGTCCCACTCTTCACAAAAAGGAGAAAACAGATGCTCTCCCTGTCCCTTCTGGGCCAGTTGGGCATCACTAAGTGGAGCTTGTCAAAACTCTTTTGGAAAGGACAAGAACTCAATAATATAATGATAAAGAAAATGAGACTTGAAAAACATGCCTTTTCTGAAGGTTGGCTGAAATATTTGAGTGGATTTGATACCTTGCTTATCTATACTGCAGAAGTGGTCATGATGTTTTGCACACAGTTTCCAGGAGAACATTAATTGTGCGAGTGACCATCATAGTCAGGGTATATGTCCTAAGGGCTGGCATCTGATAAGACCAGCAAACAGCAGTCTTCCTTGAAAAATCTGATATGAGCAACCCATTAATCTGATAGCCTATATTGATTTTAGTCCTTCCGTATTTCTGTCCTCACTTCAGAATTTGCCAAGGATATTGAGAATAAAAAAAAAAAAAAAAAAAAAAAAGATTTTATTACATCAATCACTTTGAACAAGGGAATTATATTATCTCTTACAGATGTATTTAAGATTCTCATCACTGGGATGTCCACAGGCCACAAGAATAGTCTGCAAAAGTTTTAGATCAGTTCAAAGTATGAACACGTTTGTGTATGCACCTCTAAATGTCAAGAGTGAGGAAAGATGAAAGTACTTTCATTCTTCATCATGGTTTCAATCTATGTGTTCATTGTCACTCTCTTTCTATAAATAAAACATGAGACAAGTCCAAATTTCAATGCCCAAGTTTTCTTCAAGTGGTTTATATCAGAGAAGCAAAAGTAGGAAGGCCCTCCTCAATTCAGTTGCACTGACCAAAATCTTATGGCATACAGAATGATGGAGGCAGGTATTGACTTCAACATTATGTGAGATAGCCTGGGGTCCATCAGCCTCTGTATGCCTCTCCAGAAGGGTGATATTTACCTGCAGATTTTCTGCCTTGCCTTACAACCCCATGGCGGAGTGATGACACTAATTTATGCATCTGAGATGAGTTTGTCCCCCCTTCTTCACCGTATTTGAACACAGAGATTTTCCACTTGTATCATATCGCCCTGACGAAACAGTATTTTCATAAATTTGCTTGCTTAATTCAGCTGTTAGACAATGACAAGTGAAATGTCTCAAGTACTGACACAGTGACACACATCAATCTAACAAGAGTTACTATAACTAAGTTTTATTCAGAGTTTGCCTCCTTTGCATGGGCTACTAGAAAGGACGACATTTTTTGAATCACCTTAATCAGTGGTTTCCAAACTAGAAATCCAATCCCTAAATATGATCATGAACTTCCAAGAAATCAGGTTTTTTTCTCATAATCACACTTGGAGCATGCTGATACATCATGACTCGTTTGTAAGGCAGTTTGGAACTGGAATCTGCTTAGGAACAAATACCCACAGAGCAGATGCAAGTGCAAAATTAACCATTTTGAGAATCCTTTAGGAACAAGTTTATAAAGATTTCATGGTCCTGCAGTTGTTTCCAACAGAGGTATGTTACATACATTATCTTTTACTTTATCCAGTTTTTGATTTGTTAGTTCAAGTTATATCATGCAGAGGTTAGAATATCCTTTTTTAGCTTTGGAAAGAGCAAAGAGATAAGCTTCAGAAGGATGAACAAAAATTAAAGAAGATGCTGCTTATAATGAAATTAGAGAAAATGGACTTAACTAAATCCATTGGAAAGTAAAGAATCCTTTCTAGATAACTCAGTCTTGTGTGTTTTGTACATATGCACCCTGAAATAGACTGTGGTGCAAAAGCATATATAGCAAATTATTTTTATTTGTTCATGATTTATATGACACCAGCATTCACGGATGCCATGATTTTATTGTGTATAGCATCAATCACGAATACGCACTCTATAAGCAGGAAGCACCTCTCCTGAATGGCTTCATCAACCCTTCACTGCAGATTCAGTGAGTCAGAAGGCTTTTTTACTTTTATAAAGTCAGCACCACTGGGCCTGGAACATATTGTGCTCAACAGCTTCTGAAGATGTCATCATAGAAGAAGCACAAAGTAATTATAATCTGCAGTGCAACTAACTCTCAGTCCTGGGTTTTTACTATACCTCTGTGTGAGAGCTTCTCCAGGATGATCCTCAGGCGCTGAAGAACAGGAGGTGAAATGTCATATTTGTATATGTCTCTTACTGGCACTCGCTGACATCTCCCAAATACTCCATCTGCAGCAGAGAGAGAGAAAGAGGAAAAACATACATTTCACTTTTTGAAAGTAAGAAATACTTCATGAGATGCGCATTTCTAATGTATCCTAATTATATACTGAAGGAACCTTTTAAAAGACACTAAAAAGTTATCAAAGGACTACTGAAGTCATGAGGCAGGGTATTTTCTATCAAAATAAATAACTGCTGGAAAGAGTATTATTTGGAGGAAGAGTCTACTGTATAAGTTATGAGTGCAGTTTATTTTATAAAGTTATTTCAGACTTCTGCCTCCTAAATCTTTTGATGTAAAAGTTCTTTACTGCCAATTCAGTGGGAAAAAAAATAATGTTCAGAGCCTACTATGTTGCAGATGAAAAGCACAGCAACCAGAAGTATAAATATTAATTTGCAGAAACTATGAGGAGTTGCTGAAACATTTTTAATGCAGAAGCTGTGTGTTAGGCATTGGTAAATGAGAACTGAATCCATAATGGCTAGCAAAGGCTCATTTCAAGAAGTACTCTCTAATGAATGCAATAAAAGAAAGCTGCTCACAGAACAATGAGATATTAATGTGGCCTAATTTATTTAGCTCCATTCCATTTGTCTAAAATGACAGACTCTTCCCATCAATGTCTTTTCAAATCACACCTTCTAATTAATTTAGCTTCTTATTAGTCTTTATTTAGAGAATTGTTCATTTTGAGACAAGCTTCCTGTGTATGTGTGGGAGGAACAGGGAGTTCAAACATTCAAATTACCTTTCTCTCTTTCACACAAAAGACTAATTCAGAGCCTAGGTGCTTCACATGCAATCTGACCATCTGCAATCCTAGGTCTCTAAGAAAGTGGGTTCATTTATTGTTCTAAACAGTTTGGTTCCATACAGTGATCCAAAAGAAGCAATTTAAATGCAACAAGTTTAATTAGTAAAATATTCTGCGGCAGTACTAGTCTTAACACCATAATTACTTTTGCTCTGATATTATATCTATGCTGAAAGAGGAGAGCTACATCAGATTAGCAGAAAATAACAGTAAGTATTAATTTGCAGATGTCCATTACTTTCTCTGCTACTTCACAGAGCTAAAAGACTCCAAATGGAAACCACTGGCACAGCACAGCTGTTCACTAAACACAAATAATGGTATAGAAGAAGAAAAACCAATCTAGGATGCAGAAAAAAATAGGCACTATTAGCCTTCACTGTTAAATACAAATACACAACTTATGCTTTCTTTGCCTTTCTGATCCTCCTGCAACTTACAACTACTAAATTAAAAATCCAAATTAAAAATTTACTTCTCACTCCTACTTTAATCTACAGACCTGGTTCATTTTTCTGCTATAAGAGGCACAAAGCAGCACAACAGCAAATTAAACTAATCTGAGTAGAATATTCACGTCTGCGTCAAAACCTGTTGCAGTTAGAAATGAGAAGTATATAAATATCAGTGCCTTGTAAGTGGGTGGGTAATGGGAATAAATAAGGTCCTGATTCTGAAACAGAGGAAATTTCAGTGTTTAAGAATAGGACTGTTCTAAACAAACCACGATTGGAAATAATGAGCTCTGTTTTGAAATACCACCATGACTGGCTACTAAAATTAGTACAAAATCTGTTTAAATAAACAATTAATATTCTGTGATTTAAAGATAATATACCTTAAGCATAATTATAAAACCTGCTTTGCAGTCTGGAAGGCATTTATACTTCACCACAAACTAGACATTTTCATATAAAGTATTGTTTAAAGATATCTCAATAGCTATAAGAGCTCATTCATCCACAAGCTCTAAAAGAGGCCTACCTTAGTTTTCCTAAAACCAGTTTTGCAAAACCTTCAGATTACTGCCTCTGAATACAACAAAAACTATTTACATCCTAAAATTTTCAATTAGCAAATGAGTCTGGCCCATCCAAACACACTGGGATTGCTTAGGGAGAAACTGCGAATTCTTCTGGCTTTTGTGCCTGAAATATGGGCACAATAAGGTTTAAAGAGGCTGCAGTCACAAACAGTGCTCTGCGAAACGCAGCGCTGGGACAGCTGAGAAGGAGACGAATGCCCCACAGAGCAGTCAGCAAACACCATCGCTACAGCAGGAGAACCTTTACAGTGGGGATTACAGTCGGGCTGGAGTTGTGCAAACAGTGGATTTCATAGTTTGGTGCAGTAAAAAATATACATATACATTTCCCTACGACTTTGTATACGATTGCAAGGTTTCTGTGGCAAGATATAAAACAAACATATTTAATTTCACATTGAGCACACAGTTTTAAGGTTATTTCTTCAATAAGCCTTGAAGTTATGTATTTTACAAGGGAAAAAAGAGAATGGAGTTGTTTTATGAGGAGCAGCGAGTCCAACCCCCCACTCCACACAGCAGCACCCAAACCCAACCCTGTGTCTGACAGCGGTGTCCCAATGCTCCCTGAGCTCCAGTACTCAGGGCCGTGCCCACTGCCCTGGGCAGCCCATTCCATGCCCACCACTCCTGGGCACAGCCTTTCCCTCACCCCCAGCTGCCCCTCCCCTGACAGCTCCATGATATTCCCTCAGGCCCTGTCACTGCCCCTTTCCTACCCTGTGAGGAGCTGCAGCCTCCATGATGCCTCCCCTCAGCCTGCTCTGTGCCCAACAAACCAAAGCACCTCATATGCATCTTGACCTCTGGACCAAAGAGCAGCAAACAGCCCATCGTCACCTCAAAGCAAAAATGGAAACTGAAAAAGCATCCAGATTTTATAGCTGTCATGTGCTGGAGGAAGTTCAAGGCATGAGTGATGCTTTAATAATTGTTACCCAAGGAAAAGCACTGAAGGTCTACAGCCACAAAGGATGTGTTTGCACTGAACTTAGATTAAAACTACTCTGAGAAAAAAAGGTAATACGTGCGAGACATCTGCTCTTTACACACGCACAGAGTGAGGAGAGGTTGGGAGGACCAATCAATATACACATATGGCTGCTATTAAAATGCTATCATTTGCTAACCATTAGCAAAAAGTAGTCTCTGAAATTTCCATAGTAATTCTGTGTAAGTTATACTTAGACCTGGGAACATCTGTGCTGGCAGTATGGTAATGCTGTCTTTGAGACAGCTACTACATTTGCTTCCGAAGAAGAGACAAAAACTTAGGAATAATATACCCGAGGAAGCAATGAGATACCTCCTTAAGTATTTACCTACTTTGCTACTATTTTTACTATTTGAGAAAGAATCCAAATATAATTTAAGAGCTCCTAATTAAAACCTTGCATTTTGACAAAGATATACTACAGAATTAAATGTTAAAATAGAAAGACACAAATTTAACCCAAGCCAGGTACCCCAATAAGATCTAAAATATTTGCAGATAAACCTCTTCTATTAAAGACAATATCACAGATCATCATACACTGTCCTACTGAAAAAAAATAAAAATAAAAATATCAGCTGATAAACAGTGTACAAGTCAAAATACAAGTTCTAGAAGGATAACTTTTGAGGGAAAATTGTTAGCAAATGAAAAACTTCCATCTTCATTATTATTCTTTTGCGATGAATTGTTGGATACTTGTGCTATTTGCTACCTGCTGAGAAAGGAAACACTACACTGTATTCATGACCAACACTGAGGTATTGAATTATGGAAAAGAAGACCACGAATAACTATAGTTTGAAACAGTTTTTAAAAGTTATTTTGTCAACATGCTGAGTTGGAAAAGCAGGCAGTTTCATATGCTGAGTACGTACTAAAAGATCCTTAGAAACTTCCAGAGTGACCACCTTCACCACAGAGACAAGCCTGATTCTGGGCAGCTGATTCATTCAAGCCATTTTAAATAAATATATATATATATTTATATACACATGTAAAAGCTATATTTGGCTAGAGAAACATATCCCATCCTAAAGCCATACTTGGATGTATGGCTAACCGGAGAATCCAAAGATGTATACAAGTTTTGGCCCAGTTTTACATACCAGAAAAAAAGATGGAGTTCTTGCTGAATGTATTTTTCTGTTGAGCAAAGCTGTGAGGACTGGTAGAGAAACTGGAGTTTGTGTGCAGGAGAAGGAAAGCTTGATAGATGGAAATTAAAAGATTGTGTTCTGCAGTAATTAAATATTTAGGTGTACATGCAGTGAAATTTTCGCATGGTGCTGACAGGTGACCTTTGCAGAGGAGCCTCCAAGCAGCTGCTTTGAAGCACCCAATGCTACTGCTGTTCAAGCTTCACCCAGTCGCCAGGAAGGAAGGAATAATCCAGACAGCAACAGTATTCACATTTAGAGGCCACTGTGCTTCGCCTACCTCAGCCTAATTACCTGACAGTTGCTGAAAAATTATAAAGTAGACCTCTGTCTGAGAAGTTCTTACCTAAGAAGTTTGTTGCATTTCAGGAAGCTTTTTTCAGAAGACATAGCCCACAAATCCACACTCAGCATTTACAACTAAGCTCTTCAGCAAACAACATACTTTTAATATTCATTTAAAAACAATCATAGAATCACCAAGGCTGGAAAAGACCTCCAAGATCATCTAAGCCCAACCATCCACCTACCACCAATATTTCCCCACTAAACCATGTCCCCTCAGTACAATATCTACACATTTCTTTAACACCTCCAGGGCCAGTGACTCCACCAGCTCCCTAGGCAGCCCATTCCAGTGCCTGACCACTTTTTCATAGTAGAATTTTTTCCTTAACTTTCAACCTGAAATTCTCCTGGTGCAACTTGAGGCCATTCCCTTGAGTCCTATCACCAAATGATTTGTTCATAATTTATATCTCTACTTTTAAATTCTCTTTACAGGCAATGTAGAGATGACACAGATAGAACAACTGTGGCTTCCACAGTGTCATTTCTCATGCAATGTATGGAAAATATTATTTCAATGCTATCAATCAGCAAATGCTTCCAGATCTCACTGCAGCAACCCAGCAAAGCTGCTGCCTGCAAGCACAGTGAGCTGCACTGCAAACCTGCACTGCTCCATGGAGTATGCTGCATTTCTAGGA